TCTTATTCTTCTTTATGAGTACCCTGTAGCTGTCTTCAGACACACACTAGAAGAGGGCATCGGATCCCATTACAGATGGTTGTGAGCCACCTTATGGTTGCTGGGAATTGAACTCAGGACCTCTGGAAGAGCAGTCAGTGCCCTTAACCCCTGAGTCATCACTCCAGCCCCTCTGTCTTATTCTTGTAGAACCCAAAATTAATACCAAAACAATGAAGTAGGTAGAGGTAGCAGAGGCTGGGAAGGATGGGGAAAGGTAGAGGATGAGGGGTACATGGAGGAAACCAGACAGGAGTCTGCTCTGATGTCTTGTAATATAGCAGGATACACATGCTTCAGGACATTGCATACTCAGACCTCTAGTAGAAATGACCGTGAGTCAGCCTGGCATGAAGGCACACACCTTTTAATCCTAGCACCGAGGACACAGAGGCAAGTGGACCTCTATGAGTTCCTATCAGCCTGGTTCCAGTTCTATATACCAAGTTCCAGTACAAGCATGACTACATAGACCTTGAAGAGAGGGGTGAGGTGGGATTGTCAGTGTTCCTATCCCAAAGAAGGGATAGGTGGTAAAGCTGGTAGATCTGCCAGTTAACCTGTAATCTTCAGTATTTACTGATATTAATGATCATATCTCATAAACGTACATATTTACTTTGTTAATTTTTTTAAAAGTCCACTTGTACTCATGGGTAAGAAGGGGGTGGAACTGGTAGCTGTTTCAAGACTGAAGCCCAACAGAGGCAGGCTGGCTACAAAGACAAGCTGAAATCTCAGTACACACCAATGTCACATAATCATTCAGCAGATGTCAAGGCTATACTGTCAGGGCCATCTTCATGGGCATGTGAACTGGTAGTCATTGCAAAACCCCACTATCGGAAGGATGACATCTGTTTTGTGGTAATATTTGTTTTAGTGCCCTGATCCCACCTGCTTGAAGTTTCCAATTCTGTATGTGTTTGTACACACATGTTGGTATGTGTATGTGCACGTGTGTCAGGTACCTTTCTCAGCCGCCTTCCTTTCTTTTTGTTGTTGTTCCTTTATGTTTACTTTACATATACGGATGCTTTCCCTGCAGGTAGCTCTGCATAGCACGTGTTTAAAGTGTGCAAGGCGCCCAGAAGAGGATGTCAGGTCCTCTGTAACTGGAGTTACAGACCTCTGTGCATCTCCATATGGGTACAAGGACTCAAACCTAGGTCCAGCCTCTCCACCTTTTTTTTTTTTTTTAAGATAGGGTCTTATGCTGAACCTGGAACTCAACAGTTTGGCTGCCAAGTGAGCCCCTAGGATCTTCTTGTCCCCACCTCTTGTCCGCTTTGAGGTGACAAATTCTCACTGTAGTGCTGGCTATCTTACATGGTTGCTGAGACCAAGCCTCCGTGGTGCGCACTTTACTGATTGAGCCATCTTCCCAGCCTCGAGTTCTGAATTTTTAAACAAGGAGTCCAGTGACTATATTTTGCACTGCATTCTGAAATCATAAAAACAGTTCCACCTATAATCACCTGACGCTGTGTGCAGTGCTGGGATTATGATGTCGGCTACATCCAGCATGGTTATAGGAACTACAGGCTAGCATGGAAGATACCCAAGTCCTTGGTTGTAATTGTGATATCTTCTGACTCAGGATGAGTCACAGGCGAAAAGGACATGAAAGAGAAGAGCCTAGCCAAGCTTTTGGTAAAGAGCGAGGAAAGGAGATAGCCTGTGGGTGAAGAGTCATCTCTAAGCACTAGAGGAGAGATGTGAGAAACTAGCAGGAGGCGGTTCTAAGAACCGGGGTTGGGTTCCGATGCTACCAGGGTATTCAGAGCAATGGCATATCCTGTAGATCAGTGGTTCTCAATTTTCCTAATGCTATAACCTGTTAGTACGGTCCCTCATGCTGTGACGACCCCCGACCATAACATGATTCCATTGCTACTTCATAACTGTGACTTGCTACTGGTGTGAATCGTCATGTAAGTATCTGATAGGCAGGATATCTGATGTGTGACCCTCGTGGATGTCATGACCCAGTTTTTGAGAGCCACCGCTATGCACCGTGTTGGCAACAGCCGAGTGAAGAGGGAGACAAGACGTGAATTCAGCACTGTTGGAGAGACCAGTGGGCAGAGAGGAAGTGGAGACATTGAGTGCATGTTGCTGCTAATGTACTACAGCTCAGTAGAAGAAGACAGTCTCTGGTGGGCTCTGGACTAGCAGAGTGTTGAGTTGGCTTTGAGTTCATTTTGGGGGGCTTTCAGTACATGCTTTTTTTTTTTTTGGTTTTTCGAGACAGGGTTTCTCTGTGTAGCCCGGGCTGTCCTGGAACTCACCCTGTAGACCAGGCTGGCCTCGAACCCAGAAATCCACCTGTCTCTGCCTCCCAAGTGCTGGGATTAAAGGCGTGTGCCACCACTGCATGGCTCAGCACACTCTTTTAAGTGTGGTTTTATACCGTGGCAGATACTGTCAGTGGAGAGAGAAGTTGACAATCCTGAGTTAGAAACAGTGATATTGGGAGAGTGCTGAGGTGGTGTGTGTGGGCAGACCAGCCATAGCAAGAGAAGATGAGAGCAGGAACTGACCATGTTCCAGTCCGAGGACTCTCTTACCTGTGACGCCAAGTCTGTTAATGCTTTCCTGAACAAGCCATACCTCTTCGTTTTGCTCTCTCTCTCTTCCTCGTTGTCCGAAGAAACTCCCCTGGGACTTCTCTTACCTGCTGTCTTATTAAAAAAACATTGACAGGGTGTCTGCTATGTGACATGCACAGAGGTGAGAAGCCTACACTAGACCTTGACCTCCTGATATCCTTAGGGCCTGAGTCCAATGTCTGGGAGGCCACACAGGCTCCTCCAGGACAGGGGTTAGGGGCACAACACCAAATGGCACTTAGATCTTCCTCTTTGGAGAGCCTGACACCCCAACCTATCCCATCCTTTGCTCTCTGTCTTTTCCTCCGTTCTAGTGTATCTGGCTCTTGGGACACAATAAGATAAAATCTGGGGGCTCAGGTAAAAAAGAAAGATAGAATAGCAAAATTAAGCAACATTTGGGGAAAGGACACTGGGGAATGTGTCACATAGCAGCTTCCATTCCAGCCTCCAGGAGTTCGGGCTCTGCCTTCTGCATTGAGATAAGGTCTTAAGCTAGGCTTCTGCATTGAGATAAGGTCTTAAGCTAGGCTTCCTGGCCCGCTTGCCTGTTTAATGTTCTCCAAATTCCAACATCATCTGTCAGACCCCTTGCTCGTTCTAATAGCTCTTCCCCACTGATAATTGAGATAAAGAAGGTATGCAGTAATGTACAGTGATTTGTGAGTGGTCGGGCAGATGGCTGTGCTTACAAAAGTTCACAAGTTTTTTTTTTCCTAAGAAGAAATCTTTATCACATTTTAGGCAATAAGAGAGGAGGTAAGGAACATCACGGCAAGGGGTGTCTTCCCAGAATGAGCTTCCCTAACCTTTCCTGTTTCCATAGCCAAAAAGTCTCTAAAGGCTCCAATATTTTTATGGTCCCAACCTGTTCACCTTCACTGGTTCCTAGGATGGGAGCCAACGGGACACAGATGGCCAGGAGTCAAAGATGGGGCTACAACCAATAAAGCCACTCAGGGGGAGTTGTTTCCAAGAAGGAGGGTGACTCTCCGAGGTCATGCTGGTACAGAGTCTGCAAGGTGCCCCTCAGAGCTCAGGGAAGACTTTTTACTGATTCCTAGATCTCCACTCAAAAAGCATGAATGTCGGGAAATCTGGGGACATCGTTCAGCAGTGAGGTATTTACCTGGCATACACAAGGTCCTCAGTTCAGTCTTCCATACTAGGATATAAAACAAGCTGAGAGGTTTATTAGGTCTGAGGTCTCAGGCCCCAGTGCCAGGGAGCTGCAAGGGTTAGTACAAAATGTCATTTCCCCAAGCCACTTCCATTTGTCATAGATATGGCCACCTTCTGCCACCACCAACCACTGGAAAGGGGCTGTCGGATGTCAGGTACCACTTCAGGGAGTTGGGATTATGTCTCGGTGACAGAATGCTTGCCTGCTGTGTATGAGGCCCTGAGGTCAGTCCCTATAGCAGTGAAAGGTCTGAGCACCAAGGACAAGAAGCAGTTCCTGGGGGAGAGCCAGGAAAGGTCCCTCATGGCTGTCGACCCTGCAGCCTCTCTGTAGGCACCAGCTTGGGGAACTCTATTCTCCGTGGTGCTAAGAGGGCAGGAACTCTTGGGCAGGTATTTCGGAATGTATGAGGTTTATGAGCCTTAAAATGGTAAGGATGGCTGTTTCTCGACCCCAGCTTATAAGCTTAGAAACGTAGTCTAGGCCAGAAGTGTCCAGCTTCTAACATGCTTGGGAATCTACTTACAGTGACAGTGCTGGTAGGAAGCCTAGAGTAAAACCCGAGACTCTGCATTTTCTTCCATGTTCCTGGGTGAGGCTAGTGCCACTGTTCACTGATCCTTGAAGTCCCAAGAGTCTAGATTTGCACTGCCCAAGTACGTCAGATACAAACCACCTCAGACTCCTTTAGGCTAAACACCCCTATAAATGTAGTTCTCTGACTGCAGGTTAGCCACAAAGCAAATGGTCAGTATGCACACGTGGCTGAGGGCAGTCATCTCGGACTGTGCAGAGAACATTACTGTGCTTGCAGAAGGTTCATCTGGACAGCCTTGAGTCAGAATGGGAACTGTTGCAATGTTGGTTTGTTTATTCATTTGTTTATTTAGCCCGTGAACATATAGTATATGTGGAGTTTGATGCTTGTTGCCAGGGAATTAAGACAATGGGTCCAGGTAGTGGCAAAAGAGGGAAATATTCTGTGCTAACTCAAGACCTCAGTACCATAGAACAGAGATGCCCGCAACACGTCGAGGGATCCAGGGATGTTAGATGTCATCCTCCCAGGCACGGGTAGGAGAGGACGTGCTGAGTGGACTGTCAGTGGTTGTCACAGAGTCATTATGAGTTTAGTTGCTAATGGTGCATTTTTTTTTCCATTCCAGGGCCATAATCATCAGAAATGGAGAAATCATCCCCATGTCTTCCGAATTCACCCCTGAGACGGAGCGCCAGAGACTTCAGTACCTGGTAAGAGTCATGTGGGTCTAGCAGGGGTTAATGGTGGTGGGGACAGTGTCAGAGCAATGTGAGAGGAACACATTGCTATGACATGAGAGCAGCCCCACCAAACAAACGACATCCTGGCTCTGTGTGTGATGACACACTCCACCTCCATGAATTTATTATTGCGGCTGGCTAGCTTTCCCCCATCGGCAGCCAACGGCACAGTGGCTCCGCTTCCTCCACTGGGTCAGTGCGCATGTGCAGACTCCTCCCTCATCCAGCAACTCGGTTGAGCACGTGCGGGTCTCAATGTCAATCACGTTACCAGAAGGCGCCTCTTCCTCTATGACGGGCCACAACTACACACTCAAACAGGAAAGGCTCAAGATCCTTGGGGACCGTGCAGGTGTCAAAAAAAACCTGTTTCTACACAGAAAATAAATTCTCTCTGTAGACGATCCTCTTGGGGGTGAAGTAATAAAAGGGATTGGAGACCTGAGCTCCCCCTTAAAAATCGACGTTTTATGAAAAGCAAACTAAAACTCTTTTCCCTGCCCTCAAACTCCAGAGGAAAGGTGTTAGACATAGGGTCTCAGATAAAAGTAACTTGGGAGCCATCCTAAGCTACTGGGGAGGCTAAAGTCTCTGGGCAGTAGCCCAGTGAGTGTAGGGTCTATGAAGAAAATAGTTTCCTGACAGGATTTCCATCAAGGTAGTAAAATGCCAGTAGTTTTACTCCAGCTCTACAAATGGACTGGTCCGTCCTGCCCACCTATTCACAAGTTCTTACCTGTGTGTCTCGGCAATGTAGGTAGTTGCGGTTGTTTATTGAGCATGTGTGTGTGTGTGTGTGTGTGTGTGTGTGTCTGTCTGTCTGTCTGTCTCAGAGGACAACTTGTGAGAGTCAGTTTTTTTCCTCCAGTATGAGTACCAGAGTCTGAAGTCAGCTTATCCAGAGAGGTGGCAGGTGCCTTTACTGCTGGCCACTTCCCCACACTGATGAAATTCCTTTGGTTGATTTAGAAAGTAGCCCTGGACTTACCCTCAATTCCCCAGTGAGAATAATAAGTTGTAACTCCACAGTATGACAAGTGGTAATGACTCATGCCTTTAATCTCAGCACTTAGGAGGCAGAGACAGGTGGATCTCTGCATTTGAGGCCAGCCTAGTCTACAGAGTGAGATCTAGGACAGCCAGGGATACACAGAGAACCCTTGTCTCACCTGTCTCGAAAAACCAACCAACCAACCAATCAACCAACAAACAAAAAGTTTAACAACATCATCATGACTAGTTACCTGGCAACTAGTATGTGATATCAGAAATCTCAAACTAGTCTTTTCCCCAGTTTGTGTTGTGTTTGATTGGTTGACGAGACAGCCCAGGCTAGCCTCAAACTTCCCTCTACACCCCTGCCTGTGTAGAAATTGCTTATCATGTTGTTAAATATACCAAAATAGTCCAACAAAACAAACTTGATGAAGCAAGGACTTACCTTGGCTCACGTTTCGATCATGGTGGGAAGTCACCAGGGTGAGGACTTGAGGCAGCTGGTCACCGTACATCCACAGTCGAGAAGCAGAAAGAGTTGAACGTTAGTGCTTGGGTCACTGTCCACACTGTAGTTTGTCCGTCAATGAGAGAAGGTCTTCCCACTTCAGCCAGCCTAATCTACAAAGCCCCTCACCAACATGCCCATTGGTTTGTCTCCAAGTAGTTCTAAATCCCATCAAGCAGCCATTAGAGCCCCTCGACAAGAGTTGTAATCCTGATTTCTAATGCTGCTTTCTGGTGTCTGAGGTAGAATGTTCTTGAAGCTACCAGTGGAGCCTGAGGTGGAGCCTGAGTTTCAGGAGGCTTGCCTTCAGTCCCGGTTCTGCTGTCCCCTGGCTTTGTGCAGGTCTTCTGACCTTTCTAGACCTTGTTTTGTCCCGTGTGAAAGGTAACACTAGACAGGAGGGCCACCAAGATCCTCTGAGATACAAAGGTCATTCCCAGTAAAGTTTACAACGGCTTGCCCATATGGCTTTCTCTGTCACCCAAGGTCATGAAAATGACCTTGTCACCTACCTAAAGCTTTTTTTTTTTTTTTTTTTTGAGCTGCCTACCATGTAAAGAATGTAGCCAGACCCACCGGCAGACTCAGATCCCCCGCCTGCCTTTGCAATACCAGTCTCCCTTTTGCTACTACCACTAACACCCCCACTCATCCCCCACTCCCTCACCTCCCACCATGCTTCAGCCAGATCGCTAGCATCTGGCTTGTCAGCTCACACCACCGACTCACTGACCTATATTTCTTTGGAAATGTCCTCTGTTTAGACAGCTCTTCCTGTCTGCCAGAAGAATTCTCCCTCATCCTTTCTGATGCTGACACAAGAGACACTTCTGGGAAGTGTCCTCTAATCTTCCCAGAGAGTCAACCCCCAGTGCTGGTACAGCAGTACTTGGTGGCCTGCAGTGTGGCTTTCAGGATATTATACATACTGGGTTGTTTGTTTGTTTGGGGTTTTTTGTTTGTTTTTTGTTTGTTTGTTTGTTTGCTTGTTTTCAGATCTCTAGCTTCCTCTCCAAATTGAGTTCTAGAAGGCAAGGCTCTTACTTAGTCACCCGATTGCAGTACTCAGCCCAGCCGCTGGCACTGCACTGGCTTGTTGGGTGTGCATGAAGGAATGCTGGGTCAGCTGGAGTCAGAGCCTTCCCCATGTCCTCCATGCAGATGGCAGCAGGGCAATGAGGTATTTGTGTCCTCTGCCTTCACTCCACTCTTAGCATCTCTGTCCCTCGACATCCTCCACTGAAGTCCAACTCTTACGGAAGCAACAAACAGTAAAAAGTTAATTTCATACGCTTTTACATTTTTAAATAATGTATTTTCTTTATTAAAAAAATGAAACATGGAGGGTCAATTTTGAGGGAGGACAGGAAGAGCTGAAGTTCTTTGGGGACGCTAAGGATAATATGCATGTGACTCTATGAGTTCCACCAGGCAAGCCATTGATGAGCAAATTATCAATTGTGGGGATAGAAAAACCTCCAAAGACTTTGCAGGGATTAAACAAAATGATATGCAGGTTCTTTTGTGTTCTCCAGTACTCATTTAGCTCCTGTTTGATAAATCCAAGTCTTGTTTCTTCAGATATATCCTAGTCTGTCGGGGCTGTTAAAACAAAATGCCATCAAGTAGCTGGCTTATAAACAACAGAGATGTCTCTGTCACAAGCCAGAGGCTGTGAAGTCTGGGATAAAGGCCCTAGAAGTTTCAGTGTTTAGTGAAGGCTCTCATCCTGCTTCATAGATAGGCATTGGGGGGCGGAGGGGGGAGGCTTCTATGACAAAGATATTCTTGAAAGCCTCTCTGCCCTATCTTTAAGCTGTAACTGTGCACGCACACACGCTCCAATTTATGAAATCTGAAGGTGTATGAAAATTCATTCTAAAGCAAAGTCCTACTGACCTGAGAGCCATTTTCCTCTGCTTCAGTTAGCACCCACCTCTGAGTTTCTGAGATAAAGGGATATTTTGGAGTCTGTCTTGACCAATAGGGGAGGATTCTATGGGTCCAAAAAACTGGGCCTGACACTCAATTTATAAAAGAAAAGAGCACCATCTTCTTAACTCATACACCCAAAGCAGATAGACTTATTTAGTTTATAACTAAAACTCCCCCCCAACCAAGACATGAGGAGAACATAAGCACCCTGTTGGCCCAGCCTGTTATCCTTTCAAGTATAGGAATATGTGCTCTGAAATGACCTGCTCCAGGCATAATAATGGTGCAGAATAACTGTTTATAGCAAGCATTTGAGGTTAAAATATTTATAACGTAACATGAAGTCCATATGTTAAAATATTTTTTTTTTAGAACTAGGAGGTTGATATGTAAAGTCTTGAAAATATTATCGAGTATGAGAGGAAGATCATCCGAGCGTGGCGTAGACTTCTCTTAGCCTCACCCAATCATGAGCTGCGCAAACTCGGTCCTCTCTCATGACCTGTTCTGAAATAGAAATGAGGAGCGACCCTTTGGCTGTGGAAAGCATCAACATTCTTCAGCTTCTCAGCTTTCAGTGCAGCGATGCACACTTACAAACCCACCGCAGCCGAACAGATCTAAGTTAAAATGTAACCAATATGTCTAATCTTCCAAACATTGTAGCGATGCCTTGCCAACTCCAACATGCCCAGGACATATACAGTATACCTTGACAGCTTACTATGGCAAGGCACATCTGTAATCCCAGCACTCTGGACCCAGAGGAAGGAGAATCTCTGCTAGATGGAGGCCAGCCTGGGCTACAGAGTCAGACCCTGTCTCAAAAAAAAATAAATAAATGAAATAAAGGTCAGGAAAAGTCACCAACAGTGTGTTTCAGAACATGATAAAGAGTGTCTCCATTGTTTTGCCTGTGCTAGTGAAAGTAAAATCTGGAACTGTTTATGTGTTGTGTTTTATAAAAAATAAAATAAGGAGAGATGGAATGTTTGGGGGATGTGTAGTCAGGTGTGGGGGAAAGGGGTGCTTCCCAGGGCCCATGCTGAGGCAACCAGCCTCAGGATGGTATAGTATAGTAGTATAGAATAGAGTTTATTCAGGGCATAGGGAGGGGAGTTTGGAGGATAGTAAAGACAGAGAAAGAGGGGGCAGAAAGAGAGAGAGAGAGAGAGAGAGAGAGAGAGAGAGAGAGAGAGAGAGAGAGAGCAAGAGAGAGAGAGGAGGGACAAGCAGCCCCTTTTATAGTGAATCAGGCATACCTGGCCGTTGCCAGGTAACAGTGGGGCGGAGTCTAGACTAAATGCTAACAGTATGGATGTGATTTATGCTATCATAGAGTCAAAAAAAATTATTACGTCCTGCCATTGTGAGCCAGGGACCATCTGTACCGTGAATCACCTTATAGTTTTAATTGCGCATGCTTCTGATTTTTTTGAACATCCATTCGCCCGATCTCATTACGAATGGTTGGGGCAAGGATAGTTGGAATTTCCTTTCCCTCACGTGGTCTCGCCCTGCGATGGAAAAT